GTCTTTAAAATATTGTTCCTTTGATTTCGGTGATTGCTCAACAGTGCCCAGTTCCCTCTCCAAACACACCTTACGGTAGTTGTATTTAATGATGCAACTACCATGATTCCCTCCCTGCGGGTGCGTCTAAGAGAGAGAACTGGGCATTGTAAAAAAAATAGCTGATTCTTTATTAGGAGCTTCAGGTAATTCAATGGTTCATAAAATCTTGTCTTAATGATGCAGCCAATAAAACCATTATCGGTGTAGCAAAACGCGTTTCATCAGACCCAGTCACGAAAGAGCATAGAGCACCCACAGCTGAAAACAAAAAGATGTAAAATCGGTGGGAAAGACATACGGTTTTTAAGCAAGTGTTAAATGGGCTGGGAATAAATTCAAAATTAAGCAGAACTGACACTCACCATGTGTTGTTATGTTGTTACTATATTCAGTCGTTAAGGTCTTGTTCTTGTCAACAAGGACACTCAACCGACCGTGTATTAACTTAAAAAACAGCTCCAAATAAATAACTGGACTCTTAATGTTACAAACATGCAACACTTTATTTGAGATTTTTCTAAACATTTTCAGTTACTCTGTCTATGGCTTTGTTGACACGCATACAGTTCAGGCATTTAACTAACTCAATTTAACTGACTCAATTTTCTTTATATCTGTTTCAATAAAAATATGTAAATACGAGACCACAAATAGGTCTTACTTTTCCTTTGCTTCGCGGATTATTGCATGAGAGCGCGGAAACTCGACGCGACTCGCTCCAGCTTCCACCGGTCATTTGTTTCCCGCTCTTCACGAGGAAAAGAATTGTTCAGTCTTAGTAAATATCGATTGAGCCTCCAAATAGTATATATGCTGCATTCTACTTCAATTGGTTGGAACAGTGGACGAAAAGATATTCTATGAATGTGCCATTGAAAATACCTCTATTATAATATACTTTTAAAAATCGATTCTACCTTTTGATACTAAGAAAATAGAGAATAAAACAAAGCGGTAAATAAAATTCTTTGTGATATCGATAGGACCTGCGCGCACTCTGATTGGTCAAAACCCATGTTTTATCAGAGTATAAAACATAGAAAAAGCGTGTTTTATTGTTTTTCGTCACATTACCTCTATATCATAAAGTAAATGAAGAAGCCTAAGCCGTGTGTTACACTGTGATAAAACACTTCGGACATTTGAGAACACTCGAGAATTGTAGAAAACACTCGCCTGCGGTTCGTGTTTTCTACATTTCCCTCGTGTTCTCACATGCCCGTTGTGTTTTATCACAGTGTAATACACGGCTTAGGCTTCTTTATTTGTTAAATAAAATACTTGTTTCTAAAAATTTTGTTCTTATCTACATGAGAATTACAAGCTCGGTCCTTGAATTTCCAAGTTAACCCTTACTACGGTACACGATTGGCTTAAAAAAACTTGCGCCAATTTTTTATCCAATCAGAAGTAAAACTAAAACCAATCGTGATTCGTTCGCACACGTTTTCCCGCGCTTTGCGTCAGCTACGTGTAATTACTTCGAGTTTTGATTGGTTCACTGTATTGTTTATGTCCTTTGTGATTGGCTAGAGCGATTTCTTAGGTTTTGGTTTTACGACACTCAATTGAAAACCGCTCTATTAAAGAAAATAAACAACAATTTGTAAGGAAAGTTGATGTTGAGTTCAGAAGTGTTAAATCAACTACAGATGTCGTCAGATAAGATTATATTCCACGGGAGAGAAATGCTTCATGCGCTGGTACACCTACAGTATTATTTCTGTTATTGTAAAACATTTATTTCGTTTTTGTTGTCTGTGGGCATCAGCGAAAGATAAGAGAACTAACGTTAGACATCAATTTCGACCACAAACTGCTTGTTCATGGCATCTCCATCAGGAGCTGCAGTCTATCCAGGTGTACTTGTGAAGATGGAATTGTCAATAGTATTCTAGATTATTAGCCTGTTCGTTAATGGTTGTCGTCTGTGTAGAGCAAATGTCCCTTCTGCAAAACAATTGAGTTGAACACGGTTAATACTGGCATGAAAGGGCTTTTCAAGGACTTTCAAGCGCCTCTACATTTTCAAAGGAAAACGTAACTTAATAGAATTTAATTTATAGACTTTTCTATGCCTGTTCAAACCGTACAAAACAAAGTCACCTTTCCTAAACAGAAGAACAAAATATTTACAAACTCGAGGTTACTATAAACGGTAAAGGAAGGGGGGGGNGGAGAGGAAGGAAAAAAAAAAAAATAAGAACTCAACTTTCGACCTGGTCTCCTATAAGAAGAGAACTATCTCTTTTGTCGTAATAAACAAGAAAACAAGATCCTTCCCTTTTAAGCCTGAATATGTTTTAAGCTTGCTTTGCAACTGATCAAGTTGCTGTAATGGTGCGAAGATGCTTGTATTCCGTCAACAGAGTTGCTGGCTTGTAAAATCACTCACAAACATCATCTCGTTATCTTTCAACCCCTTGATAATTTCACGTATTTCAATGACTTGATCACTTACCTCTTCCTCTGGATCGTTCACATACTGATATTTTTTCGTTCTGTAATATGACTTGCGTTTAACGATGTACAAAACAACTACGTCACACAACACTGTTGCCTGCAAAGGGAAGAGAAGTATACTTGTCACACAACACTGTCACACAATACTACTAGACTGTTGACAGCCCCCTATTTTCTCGTATGTTTATTCGATCGTTCAACGCGCGGATAGAATCGCGAGAGGATTGGACGCGAGCGCAAAACGGGAGACTTGACAGGGTAGGGGGTGGGGACCGAGAGAAATTCTTCGTATGGCTCTCTTCGCTCGCCTTTCCGCCCCTACCTTGACTTATTTTTACTACTTTGATGTTTTTCTACCTTACAAAAAAATATATTTTGAGGTTTGCTTCAATTTGAAGGCAATTTTGTTCACCAGAGAAAATGCCTTAAAATATCGCGACGGCAATTTTGTGAGAAAAAAACTCTTAAAAACACTTAACATTTCACAGTTTTTATTAAACTGATAGGTTAAGAACGATGTGTCTTTCACGTAAGGTACTACGCTTTCAACTGTGGTTTATTATTTTTCTCCTTCCAGACAATAAACCACTCCATTTCATTAACCTTTTCCATTCCAAGCTCAAACCTTCAATTCTCCTTACTGACCGCAACATAACGCTTTAACGTCACTACTGAGAATTTGATGTTAGATGTAGATAATTTCACGAGTGGAATATTTTCTACACTCTCGTCGCTGTTCCTCTTCACCATGCAATGAAATTGAAAAAATACAGGATAATTACTGTGTTAACCCAAAGTGTCAACTTACAATTCCAAGAAGAGCAAGACCCGAACCTAAATTGAGAAATAGAGGGACGACGCTGAATTTTCCACCCTGAAAGAAACGTAAACAACGACTTAAATAAACACAAGCAGCAATAAGAAAGGGTCCACTGTAGTGGCTTCTTAAGCATGTTGGTAAGGCTTGGTTAACACTAGGGACATAACGAGAAAACGACATAATCACTTATGTCGGTAAAGTGAACATCGACGTAAAGATCAGTTGTTTTCCTTATGTCTTTATGTTCATGCCATCATGTTGCTTTTATGTCACTACCGTAAATCCTCGAATTAGCGCCCCCCCTCGAATAAGCGCCTCCAACCCCCCAGTTTGTGGGCGTTTAATGAGACAACAAAGGATGTATCGTTTTTGTCATGTAGTACTTAGATGTTAAGTGAATAAGTTGAACACTAACGGTGCCGCGATTTAAACTTTACGATCAGCTTTTTATGTCAATAAACAGCTTATGTTGTTGTTGACGCGCAGATGATGTATTTTAAAAAAAAAAGATCATGATCCCACGATTTGGGAAAAATTAAATAAGCGTCTCCCTCGAATAAGCGCCCCCCGTCTTCTCCTAAATTTGAAATAAGCGCCCCGGGCGCTAATTCGAGGATTTACGGTATACCAGGATGTTCACACTGCAAACATAACGACATAACATCCTTATGTCGTTATGTTTATGTCGAGATGTCGATATGTCGCTGGTGTGAACTAGGCTTAACATACCTGACCATATACTAACACCACGTAGCGAATACCATAAGCTTTGAATAAGGTTCTGTGTATTTTTCCATCCTTCTCATAAAACCTGGCAAATCTGTATTAAACAAAGAAACTTTATTACTTTGCAAATATCACTGGGTAAGTGTTGGCAAGTAGGTGGG